ATTAAGCTAAGTAATTTTTTATTTTATATAATTTTAATGAAGTGAGAAAATCTAGACTCATAGGTTTTTGTTTTGGCTCCAACGAATTAGATTTGGTTATTTTCAGTAACTTTAATACTGAATTGTTTTGTCAAATTTTACATACAAGATTCGTTTGAGTTGAAATCTATTTAAATTTGATGTAACTTTATTTTAGGATTTAATAAGTTGCAACTTATAGAACATATAGAAAACTTTAATTTAATATTTTATTTGTAAGCTGCTGCATGATCCTTTGTATAGGATTAATGTATTTATTGTATTCTACATATTCGACTACTCGACTAATGTAAAAATGTATATAATTTTGTAATTATTATCTATAATAAGAACTAATCGGTTCTATCTTTGTGATTACTTTCATGTCTCTTAAGTTTCTTGCCGAAGTCTGTTTTAAAAGGGTTAAAATAAATTTGATTGATTTGCACAGTTATTATAGTTTTATTTATATTTAGGTATTGGAGAACTTAAATTCTGGCCCGACCTTTAGTACACCAACTAAAGTTAGGAGAACCCAAGAACCCTTGTATAGTCTAATATTCACAGCTACCCTTGGAAAATAACCGGTAGCACTCAGAACCCAACATTTTAACACATAACCAAAGACGATCTATAAAATATATGACTGCTTCTAGTTGACACTCAGATGTCTTTTCTATATGCACTCGACAGAAGATAAAATGATATGTACGGTTGAGGTTAAAATAATATTAAGTTTCATTTCTCTCTTTCCAAGGACTCAAAAGAAACAACAGATGAAGCATTTTATTCATAACGTATCATTTGTTTGTTCCCAATCATTGGAAAAAAGAAAGAAGATATATTATGCGAATTAAAAGAAGACAGACTGTAAAGATTTCGTCTGGCAACTAAAAGTCTGTCGATCCTAGTGGCGTATCTTATTAAAGATAAAATCATAACTCCCCGATTCTTGAGCGAAAAGGATTATTAAATTGTAGTAAATACTAATTTTGTGTAAGCTAAATATAAAAAATAAATCATGAAATACTAACCTATAATATTGTGATTTTAAATCTTTACTAATTATATCGTAAGGTGGCGATACTACAGTCAACTACAGTGAGTCCTTTAAATAAGTACCTAATTACTATATAAGTTATATTAGAAGCATAAACAGTATTCAGCTATCGAATCTTACAATTCAACGGAATCGGCTTTACCGAAATAATTATTTAGGGTCACAAGCTTAGAGTTCCAATCACCATTCCAATTGGGTAGTTTTTCAGGAAAAGGTAAAGAGGATCCCAGAAAGATCAGAAGGGACCCAATATCCTTAGGTGAGATCTTTAAGATAGGAACGAAATTTGTGGCAAATTGGGGGAAATCCAGATAACACCCTCTGAGAATGATAGCGGCTACATCAGATGGTCTGACAACTGGTAGTGATAACTCGCAGCCTAGAATCAGCGTCAAAATGTGATGTAAGAGGTACAATTCCCATTATAGAAAATATCTATACTTCGATGAGATTATTATCATTATCACATGCGGTGATCTAATATGAAACGTTAATATTATTTAATAAAATAATAACAACTGTGTGAATGAGAAATGTTTAATGTACGATACACGACAACTGCGTATGAGTATGTGGAGAGTGGAGAAAACTAGAACAATATGGCGTGTACACTTTGAGCATGCAATATCAAATTCTTAAATAAACAACATTTAAAATTATGTGGTGTGAAATGTAAATAATTAGAAGAAATTGGCAACAAACATAAAAATTCAAACGAATCAAATGATAAAGTGTAAAAGATTGGGCAATCAAAATAGTGTGAGTGTCAGCTTTAATGTAAAAGGTCAAAGGAAAGAAGAATAGTTAGGAAGAGAAGACCAGTTCGATTGATATGTCGATTGTCTGTCATAAAAATAAGTAAATTTATATATAAAAGACTAAATGATTGTTTTATAAAAAAGTTACAAGTACAATAAATGTTATAGAGTAAATATGTAGAATAAATAAAATAAAACAAAAATTACGCTAATTAATTATTTTTTAGGTAGATATGTAACACCACTAACTTTTACATTATACTCTAACATCATTGTTATATTTTAATAAATTATTTTTCTACACCCACATGGATATTCGCTTACCTACGCAAAGACTACAAAACAAAAAAGTATGCTATTTCGTTTAACTGAACGAATATATTTCATATCCATTCTAGGTAGCGAGAATACTTAAAAAAAAATGAAATTCACCAATCACAGTTCTTATTATGGACATCCAACAACTATAAGTAACAATAATTCTGTCAAACTAATTGTGAGTATATTTTTTAGTTATTGAGATTAAATATACATTAAAATAAGTTATTTTTGTGTAGAATCGATAAATAATAGCATATTTATTTTCATTTGGTCGATAAAAAAAAATCTATAAATTTGAACCAACTATATGAAACTAATTTAATAACGATTATTAAAACTAAAATCCTAAATGTAGAAGTGGAGATGAAGATACAGCATCTGTCTTCCACGTGAGATACCCGAATTCGAATCTGGACGGAAGACTAATTAAATTAAATCTTTTTTGTTTATTTTATAAATTAGTAAAAGTCACAGATCATTTTAAAATTAGTTATTTTGTTTTAATAACTAAGAATATTTTTTTAAAAATGAACGGTCCGTAATCAGTTGAACAATGTTCAACTTTATGTAATTAGTTACATAAAATATATCATTGACTCTTGTTGCGATTACAAAAGGAGTGTAGCCCCTTGCCACGGTATCGCCACAGAGAAAGGGTAAAACGTCATGCGTTCATATGAACGGCATATGCAACGATATGCATTCACGTGAACGAACGTATATACAAGGACTTCCGAAAAATTAAACTGACAGATATGATAGATGACATGATAGGTGACATGATAAATGGCTGATCTTCTACAATAACAAAATAGGGGACTTTGTATCACTCTATGAGTTAGCAAATGACGTAACTCACAGCTGATGTTGACAGGTGACAATATAGTTTATTGGGCATTTGGGGCCTTAGAGGAATTGGTATAACCGAGTGAGTTGACAAATGACGTATTTGATAGCTGATATGACATACATCGTCTAAAAAACACTAGAATCTAACTTCGTTAATATTGAGTCGATTCAAATAAGGTGAAGGACGTTTAATGGTAAATGATATAGATGTTTTGAAAAATTTAGCAAAATTTAAACCATAAAAAAATTGACAGGATATTTCGAAAAAAAATTTCTTTTTTTTTATAAATTTAGCAGAATTTTATAAAGAAAAAAATTGCTGAATAGTTACTTTCGAGAAAAAAAAAAATAAAATAAAGTCAAAAGGAATGCGCAGTAGCATAGTAAAGCGGGAATTGCAGTTTAACTTCTATAGCATTGGCTGGCTTTTGATTTAATTTGAAATCGTGAAATCAATATACTATTAATTGAGCTGTTTATTTTGAAAGTGGCCTAACTTCATTTATACTTAAATTGAGATATCTAAAGGTTTGTGAAAATTTTGTTTAACTGCATTAATTAAACGTACTGATTATTCAACTAATGCAATTGTTCAAAAACTGAGGTTAACTTGTTAAATACTAATTAATTAAAATTACCTTTATCACTGCCTTCGGACATTGTCAATAATGAATATCTTAATTTAAGTATAAATGGACTTAGGCCACTTTCAAAATAAACGGCTCAATTGTGCCTTATTGATACTTTTTACCACTTCTCATAATTTTTAAATATTTAATATAATACATCTGTCATTTTAAAATCGATGTCAATTTAAAAAAGACATGAGAAACGTCAAATGAAACGATGATGATTACGTATTTGATATCATCTTCGACAAGGGCCATTTGGAACATCGAAAAATCGCTGAAATAGGCTTAAAATGTGTAAAAAATCGAAAAGGAACGCTTATTCTGCAATACTGGTGCTATTTAATTTGCGAATCCATAAAAATCGCAACTTATACAGGGTGTTAAACGAACACATTTTAATGGGATGTAGAGTACACTTAGCTGAGTTCAAAACACCAACATACTTAGCCTTTAATCTTACTCGTTTCTGAGATATAGGGTGTTTTATGATTTTTGCCAAAACTACTTTGGTTTTAATTAATTAATTGTTTCTGCTAGTTTCTTCTTTTACTTTATTAAATAAAGTTAGCCCGGTCCTGTGTAGATATTCAATTTCCTAATGGAAAATGCTCTAGTTAAAATAAAAAATGAAGATGGTTCCTAATTTGTATACAGTTTTAATAGTACAGAGTAAAATATTTGATTTCAATTTTGTAAATACTGATTTACAATATTGTAGTATCTATTATAAAAATTTACTGTAAGAAAATCAAGATGGTACCATTAAATATTATTAAATTTTTTTATTTATAGATCCACGTACTATTTAAATGTGCAGTAACATTTATTAAAATCCGATATACAGGGTGATATTCTAGCTAAGTAGGGCAATATAAAAAAAGAGAGTTCGGTGCTGGAATTTTTTTAAATTAAATTATGTCTTTGATTAACCTAAGAGAGTGTAAATTTTGTACAAAATTTTATCAAAATATCTCTAGCCGTTCAAACAAAATGGCCGACTTTAGTTTTGGTAAAAAATCATAAAACACCCTATATCTCAGAAACGAGTGAGATTAAAGGCTAAGTTTGGCAGTGTTTTGAACTCAGCTAAGTGTACTCTGCCTCTCATTAACCTGTCTTCGTTTAAATCTGAAACATCCTGTATATCAAAATTAATAAAAATTATTTACATAACGTAAGTTATGACCTTAGATAAATAACTATTCTGTAGAAACTATAGCAAATGTTAATTTATTTCGATACAGCCAAACATTTATTTCGTTCAGTTAGCAGCGAACATCTGCGACCTCCTCGTGTCATTCATGTCACGTATAAAATGACCAGTCTCTGGAATAAATTACGATATAAATTATCCATACTGACCTTCAGTCGTGACGACCCTCGATCGAACCAAATCCGCTTTATTCGCCACCAGAATGACAGCTTTCGTGCTGATAGTGTCCAGCGTCCATAAATTCTGGAGTATTTTTTCCGCCGTATCCAGACTGGATCGGTCCGCGCTGCTGTAGACCACGCAGTACGCGTGCGGGTCCAGGTATTTGCTGATGCAGCTTTCCGGCTGGAACAAAAAATAAACGAAAATAAACAGGATGGCCAAGTATATTTGACGTGTGTGGTCTGCCTATAGTAATTGTATTTTAGGAACCTACAACTTTATGAGTTTATATTTTATATCTATTCTGTAAGTTTCAATCTAATTAAAGCACAAATAACTATACAAATTATATTCAAAATAATATCGAGGTTTGATTATTTTCACTTATAATATCACAATAACTTAAATTATTTCCGGAAATTTTCTTTCGAGCATTATCTAAAACGTAAGTTTTACATATTTCTTTTAAATTTCGATTTCTGACCTTTACAAATGCATGATCTCTACATGTTTTAAATGGAAGCCTTGTATATTTATTTATCGTTGAAGGAAAACCATATTCACTTAACATATTTAAGTATTCAGTTGCCTTGCTGTTTCCAAAAAGATGTACAGTTCCCTAACAAAATTTTCCTCATTAGTAGATGGAGATCTATAAATGCACAATATTTTAATTTTATATTACGGTTCTTTACAAACATTTAGTACCTAATTAGTAAGTACACTCATGTTAGTAGAACATAAAGAGTTTGTAGATAAAAAAATAGATTACTCACTCTAATCCAAGCAAAGATTTGATCTTTCCCTGCACTGCATAAACTTATTATTTTTCTTTCAGAAAGATTCCGACGCCTACATGTATACCTACAATGAACTTCTTACGCTTGCACTCCTTCGCCGTACATTATTGAGTTACGTCTTGACGGAGCGTAGAACACAACTTTTAAGTCAAAGTGGCAGCCTAACCTAATTTTGTCAAATTTTAGGTTTCGTTAATGTTTTAGTACCGGAGCGTCACGAGTCTAGAGGAAAACTATATTGAATTGGAATTGTGTGAATGCACGTTTCAATCTAAAGTCATTGATGTTCGAAGCTCTTCTAACTCCGCAGCTTTAAAGCTCGTTATCGTGATTGTGTGTGTGTAAGAGATTTTTGAGTTAATAGGAGTTGCATGGGAGGTTTTATACATACGAGGTATATTTAAAAATATTAAAAAATCGTTCCTTAAAAAAATTTTTTTATTAACAAAAAACGCACTTGTTAATTAACAATTTTTTTTTGTTACTAAATATTAATATTGAGGAACCATTTTTTTTTAAAAAATCAATATTTATTATGTTCTTTCGTGTTATAAAAAAAAATTATTAATTTTTTATTTGTTTATTAAACAAATAATTTGTTATAAACAAATGCAATTTTACGCAATATTTTTTTTTAAATACTAAAAAATAATACAAAAACAACCATATATATTTTTTTATTGAAAAAAATTATTGGAAAAAATAATTTTCCTAATGGCTTTATTTACATAAATAATTTTTTAATGCCTTAGATTGTTAATAAAAAAGTGAAAAATCGAAATTTTTAAATTTTTCCAACGGGGATCTCTTCTAAACCCTTTTAACAATAGCTCAAAAAAATCAAAAAAAATTCTAGATTTCTTGTTTTGAAATAATCAGCGTTTTTATATTAACATTAAAATGGTGAAAATTAACTAATTAACAAAAGCATAATTAATAAAAAAATAGTGATAAAAATTTTTTGTTTACGGATTATTGTTTATTCATATGTCTACTTAGTACCCAAATTTTTTTATTCCTTAATATTAATATTTAATCAGTTAAAATAATTTTTTTAGTTCATGTGTCAGATTGGGGCGATGCGCGCGGCAGCCGAATTACGCGTTTTTACCGTTATTTTCGCAGCTTAATTAAAATTATAAGGGTTATTGGTACAGTTCCGGGAGTTAGGACTTTTTTTTAGGACATTTCCTGCTCTTTAAGGATCTTTTTTCAAATTTCGATTATCTCAAATAGTTTTTGAAATATTCGAAAAAACCAAACCCTTATTTTTTATTTTACTTTATTGTTTATAACTTTTGCATTTTTTTTCAGCCCCTCTTGGAATTTTGATAGAATGTTCTAGATGCCATTCCAAATCGAATGAGCCAAAAATTATAATTTTCGAGGGAAATGGCACTCGTGAACCAGACTATTTTAAAAGATGGAAAAAACGAGATAAGAGCGGTGATAAAATATTTCCATATTAAAGGATTATCGCCGACGGAAATAAAAGCTGAACTAGATGCTACACTAGGGGAATATGCTCCTTCATTTACCACAGTTAAAGCCTGGGTAGCGGACTTAAACGTTGTCGTACTAGCACTGATGATTCTCCGCGTTCTGGTAGGCCAAAAACGGTAACTTCTGAAGAAATGGTGCAAACCGTTCACAAACTAATTCCAAAAGATCGCAGATTAAAATTGGAAGAGTTAGCTGAGACTGTGGGTATATCAAAAGAGCGAGTTCACTATATTTTGTGTAAAGTTTTAGGTATGAGAAAGCTATCCGCCTGAAGGGTGCCGCGTTTGCTCACGTCAGATCAGAAGCTCACGCAGAGGAGAATTTGGCACTGTTTAGACGTGATCCAGGGGACTTTTTGCGTAGATTTATTACGGTTGATGAAACATGGGTTTATCATTATTCTCCTGAAACTAAACAACAGTCCAAACAGTGGACGGCAAAGGACGAACCAGTTCCAAAGAAGGCAAAGGCAGTACCGTCTGTTGGAAATGTCATGGCAACGGTCTTTTGAGATGCTAAAGGGATACTCCTAATAGATTATCTCAAAAAGGGAAGAACAATAAATTCAGAGTACTACAGCGACTTACTGGACCAGCTTAAGCAGAATATAAGCGAAAAACGTCCTGGTTTAGCAAAAAAGAAAATTCTGTTTCATCAGGACAATGCACCTTGCCACAAGTCCGTTCTTATAATGGCTAAAATTCATCAGCTAGGCTTTGAACTGTTAAACCATCCTCCGTATTCCAGACCTAGCCCCGTCAAACTTTTATTTGTTTTCAAACCTAAAAAAATTTCTTGCTGGCAAAAAAATTTCCCGTTTAAAAAATAATTACGTTCGACGAGAGGTTGCTTTATGAGTGGAGCCAATAAGACACTACTAGAATTATTCTTTTGTCCTTTTCTTGTCTACATTATAAGAAAACTACATACTTATTTTACCCATGAACAGAAAGATAATTCGATCTTGAAGGTTTCATCAGAGACCGGTTACATTTTTTTTATTAATTGACAATAATTTTGCCTTGACCATACTTTAAAAATACATTCCAAAATTTTAAGATCACGTTTTTATTTAAGAGGAGTATTTACTTGGCTGTAGAGCGGAGCATGCAAGGGTTTCGTAGTACCCCACTTTTAAACTTTATTTTTGACTTATTCTGAAAGAAAAAAATATGTACGTGTAGGTAAAAAACAAATCTATGCTCCTCTGAAGACACTTTTTTAAAATTTGAAACTCTTTTTTCTAAAAAAAAAATACAAAACTCAACTTTTTTTACTCATTTCCTCAATTTTTTTTAGAAAAAACTAAATTGAGTTTTGAAAAAGTGGTTCCAAAGGAGCATAGATCTAACCTTTACCTACATGCACATATTTTTTTCTTTCAGAATAAGTCTAAAATAAACTTTAAAAGTGGGGTACTACGAAACCCTTAGATGGCAAGATTTTTCGTCTGGAAAGTGGCGCCTCTGTTAGATTTTTAAGAAATTAATATTTGTGAATGAAAACAATTTATAATATATTTTACTGATGTTTTACGAGGGATGAATAAATTTTACGTATTTGTACACCTTATTTTTTACGTAATTTATTTCTTTAATACTAAGATTGGTATATATATTATACGCAAGGGTTTCATAGTACACCAATTTTACGGATTATTTTTTAATTTTACTAAAATAAATTTTATGTAAGTACAGGTAAAGGCTTAGTCCATACCTCCCTGGAGTCACTTTAAAAATATGAATCAGTCTCTTTTGAAAAAAATCTAAGAAAAGAAACGAAAAGAAATAGAAATGTTAAAAAATACTAGAAGAGAACAATATATTTAATTTTTGCCTACAGGAGCATTTATTTTTATTACAATAAAAATAGAAATACGTTAAAAGCTTTTTCGTCTAGATGGTGACACCAACAAAATATATATCTTTTTCTACTATTTAGTGATAAACAGTACGTAAGTGATTTGAATTCATGTTGTTATTGTTTACATACAGTAATTTCGCTCAATTATATTAAATTAATTTTATCATTTATTTATTAAAAAAATATATATCCGAAATTGGAAGGTATGCACTGAGATGTGAATTATAAATATGTTTTTGTTTAATGAATACCTCTTCGAGTCAACAATAATTATTAATTCCATTCTATTCAATCCGTTAAAGTAATGTAAATATTTTTTCTTGCTTTCGCGCATGGCTTTGAGGCGCGTTGCAAGAAAAAAATTTCTAAAAAGTTAGCCAATTTCTATAAATGGGAAAAAAAACGATTTTGACAAGCTGATTGTGCATTGTGGCACAATAAAAGACGAGCCACTGCTTTAAAATTTGGAGAAGTTTGTAAAAAATCTCCTAAAATCTTTTATTTATTTGAAAAGCCACCCGATATGGCAGGGGCCATAAATTCAGAGCAAAATAAGATTTGGAAATTTATTTGCAAGTTGAATTTGATTATGTTGCTGCTAGTCTGGATGGAATTAAAAAAAAACAAAACTCTATGTTAGAGTTAAAATGTCCATATGGAGCTGAAGTGCTGACTGTAAAAGAATAAATATACAGTAGAGAAATAACTTTTTGGAAAAAGGACAATACCATTAAGGAGAACCACTATTGGTATTTTCAAATTCAGGGCTAGCTGCACATAACACAAATGGATTTTTGCATTTTGTGCTTTTGGACTTCTGGAGGAATAAAAGTGAAGAAAATATCTCAAAATTGGGAAGAAAAGATACAAAATAAAATTAAAAATTTTTATATGGAACTTGTTGACAGCGAAGCTAATAGAGACATGGAAGTATGAGACAGAATACTAAATAATTCGTAAGAAATTTTGTTTAATGTTTATTAATATAACGCAAGGAATCTTAAATTATTTTGAATA